CCCTGCCCTGCGCTTTATGGAGCCCAGGCCATCGGTCTGGATCCTAGAAGGGGGCGCCCAGCGTCCCGGCTTCGTCACTTATCCCCAGCTGCAGCCGCAGGAGTCGCCTCCATCTGAGGCTGCTGGCGGTTCCTTTTCCTTGAGAGGAAATGATTCCCCCGCTGAGCCTTGTTTAGTTGTGCGTCACGTTGAGGTGTCTGGCCTTGGGTTGAAAACACTACCTCTTCCATCAGAAAACCGGTCACCTAAGAGCTGTTCCAAGTTATAGGTGGTTCTGGAGAACTTTGCTGCCCAGCGCTGCTCCAGGGATGTGGGGCGTGAGCGCTGCAGCCTTACCTAGGTCGGCGGTTGGGGCCTCACAGCAGAAACTCAGACCAGACCTGGCCACCCAGGCTCCCTGCTGTGGCGCGGAACACTGCACTTCTCTGGTGACTCCACCAAAACTCAGAGGAGCTCAGGGGCGCCAGGTGCTTGTGCGTGGCGATGCTGGCATTTTGTTAGCTGGTGGGTGTGAGACAGAATGTGAGGGCATCGTTCCTTGGGGGCTGCTGGAGAGGAGCTTGGCTGCAGTGCTGACCAGGTGCTGATGCGGTAGCCCCTGCCTTGGGTCTGGGGTAGTGGGAAGCCGGCGTCACGGGCGTCTCTGGGACCCCAGGCACGCTCTCCCCCTGGATGACACCCTAAGGCTGCGTCTCTGGTTCTGGGGAGGTAGCCATTTCTTTTTTTTTTTTTTTTTTTTAAATTCTTTTTTTTGAGATGGAGTCTGGCTCTGTCACCCAGGCTGGAGTGCAGTGGCCGGATCTCGGCTCATAGCAAGCTCCACCTCCCGGGTTCACGCCATTCTCCTGCCTTAGCCTCCCGAGTAACTGGGACTACAGGCGCCCGCCACCTCGCCTGGCTAGTTTTTTGTATTTTTTAGTAGAGACGGGGTTTCACCATGTTAGCCAGGATGGTCTCGATCTCCTGACCTCGTGATCCGCCTGTCTCGGCCTCCCAAAGTGCTGGGATTACAGGCTTGAGGCACCGCGCCCGGCCGGAGGTAGCCATTTCTAAGTGTGCTCTGGTGGCCCTTGAGGCCGTGTGAGGTTGGACAGTTCACAAAACCCTGTTTAGGGCAGTTGTCATTTTTAGATCAGTTGCTTTACAAACTTTTTTTGCACATACAAAACTCTTTCTTTGAATCTCCTTCCAAAAGCAAGCTGTCATCTTTCTTGCCTCTGATGTTTAGAGTGACTTTAGGTTAATGCTGCTTGGATTTATTTTGTGCATGGTGGGGAGAGGTAGGTGCCAGCACCATCCCATCCCGTGCTGGGTTCCTGAGAGAAGCTTTGCCACTTGGCTGGGCCGTCCCTGCTGCTTCGCCTCTCGGGGGGCACGTGGATGGTCCAGGCTTCCTTGGCGGAGCAGAGTCGTGACCTGCCCAAGGAAGTGGGGGACATGCTTGTGAGCACAGCATGGGGGCCGCCCAGGACCCCAGCTTCCCCTAGGTCTCTGGTTCCTCGGAGGGCCCCAGTGCAGGTGTGCCTCAAAGGACTGGGGTTTTGAGATGGGCACAGGTGTGCTCCAGCAGCCCTGGCGACCTTGACCTTGTGGAATTAGTCAACTGCCCCTCCTGGGGTCGCCCCCGGCTACCGTACGCCTCCATGACGTCACAGGGCATCGCGGGAGGCATCTTTTTAGTGGAAAGATCCTCACGCTGAACTCTGCCCCTGGCACCCCGCACGTCATCGTGGCTCTGGCCAGACGGCCCTGTCCCCCAGACCGACCTTTTCCGCCCAGCTGTGCTGCCATGGCGGGCAGTGGTCCTGGGGGCCAGGGAGCGGGTCCTTGCTGGGTGGGAGGCCCGGGTGTGTGGGAATGCGCGCGCGGCTCTGTAAACATCTGGTGACTCACCGCATAGCTATGTCGTGGCCGGCCTGTGCACTGACGTGCTCACGGTGGAGCTGGAAGCGGTGCCCGCAGCCCCTCCCTCTGACATGGAAAAGTTTCTCATGGTGCTTCCAGCCGCCGGCATTTGCAGGTCCCCACGGTGGCGGAGGCAGCTGGGCCCCGGCCTCTCCACTGTCACCCTTGCCCAAGGGCGGGGTACGGAGGAGCCTGGAGTCCCCCTGGCCTTCCCTGGGACTGGCTGGTGCCATCCTGTGCCATCTACATTAGCGCCCTGAGAGCAGCCGGCCTTGGCAGAGGCAGCGGACCCAGCAGCCTGGCACAGGACCCTGTCTCACCTGTGCGGCCCTCTGGTTGTGGGGGTGGGTGGGCTGTGGTGGGGGGGCCCCCATCGGAGGCAGGGCTGGAGGGTGGAGGGATTTGGGCCGAGGGCTCCCTGGCCCAGGGTGTGGGGAGGGTCCTGGGCCGGCAGGGAGGGCGGGATGGGGTCACCCGCCCCGTGGTGCCCATGTCCGGTGGAGGTGCTGACCAAGGACACCCCCACCGCCGTGTGCTGCTCTGACGTTCCTGCGGGAACCCGTGTCTGGTATTTGGGGTATGGGAGTGGGTGCTGTGGACCGGTCCCGCAAGCTTCCCGGTGCCTGCTGCCTGCCTGTCCCAGCCACCGGGTACAAATGGGTTTGTTGACTGCCTGCCGGCCTCGTGATGTCTGCGCAGACTGACCTGAAGTCAGGATCGCGTTTGGGCTTCTCGGTTTCCATGACGACCGTGGGGGCTGGCTCGGTCCCAAGGTCGTCATGGCAACTATCGGAGGGCTCATGCCGGGGATGCTTTGGCTGGGTTTTTCATGAATGATTAGAATGTGTGACACAATGCAGACGTGAGGACGGCGGGGGCGGCGGCGGGGACGACTCCCGCCAGACGGTTGAACGCTCGGCAGGGCGGCGGCTCCCCCACCTCCCTGGTCTCTGACTGCGGCCCCTGGACCTGCCGCCCCTCAGAACCCCACACCCCGTTGGGCTGCAGGGTCCTCGCTCGGGGGCAGCTTAGTTGGAGGTGGTGATGTCACAGCTGCAGCGGCCGGGGCCGTGGTAGGTGTCCTGTGGCCTGTGGGGAGGGCGGGGCGGGAGGGCGGCTGGGGCTCCACCCAGGCCCACCATGGGGGAAGCTGGTGATGGCAGGGGCTCCCCAGAGGCCCCCTCTCGGGGATCCAGGCTGGGTCCGGAGCACCAGAGCCTTTGCAAGGGTAGGGTCGCTGTCCAGCGGGGCCCCACACTCCTCGGGGCCAGCACAGCTGCCTTGTGGGAGGGCGGTTTCGCCACCAATCGGTTTGGTCCTTGGGACGGAGCACCTTGTGCTGTGCAGGTGCAGACGTCTTCTCTGACCTCAGGGAGAGTCAGAACAGGAAGCAGCCACTGCTGGTGCCTGCTGGTCACCCTACAGCGCCGGCAGCTGCAGCCCAGGTCTTCAGGGCAGCAGGGGGCTGCACCTGGCTGCCAGGCCCTGGGGTGGGGGTCCCAGCTGCTCTGTGGACTGTGCTAGACTGTGAGGTGCAGCCAGACCTCCCCCTGGACCCTCGGGCAGAGACAGAGGCCGGGCCAGGATGCCCCACCCCCTGGGAAGCCCCCCAGGACGGGCTGGGCCGGGACAGTGCCCCATCTTGTTTTCAGGGTTCTGTGACCATCCACCCCAGGCTGAGGAACGTCCCTGCATGGGAGGTGGCCGTCCCTTCCGGCGCTGCTGGCCCTGACCTGCGCTGGCTTCTTTGCTTGCCCGTGTTTTCCAGCTACGAGTTCCAGAGAGCTCTGTCCTGGTGACTGTGCCCAGGTTATGACGACTAATCCCAAACCGAACAAGACATTAAAGGTAAGGCTGGCTCCAGGCAGGCCCCGTCTCAAGCACAGGTGTGGGAAAGGCCCCCCCATTCCCAGGGCCGTCCTGAGCCTGTGATGGAGGCCTCCCTGTTGGCAGGAGAAGGGGCTGCTGTGGCCGGGGGATGTTCACAGGAGAGGTGGGGCCAGGATCGGGGACTGTGGTTCCAGGAGATGACTCCCAGGCTCAGGGTGTGGCAGGGTCTGTCCACCTGGGCTGTGTGTCCGCCAGGCGCTACTGCATGAGCTCACCCCCCGACTCCAGGCGTGGGCAGACTGGCCTCTGGTGAATGGGATGCTCCAGCTCCTAGGGCCTGGGCCCACCTGTGCCTGGCGCTTGCCGCCTCTGCCATGGGGCATGCCTGTGGGCTGGCTCAGTCCCAGCAGCAGGACCCATGTGCTCCAGGTCCTCGTGGGCTCTGAGGCTGTCGGTAACCAGGAGTGACCGATGTCACCGCTGGCTTCTCCTGTTCAGAAAGGGTCCTGTGGGGCCACAGCCGTCACGTGGGCTGCCTGTGTGCATGGTGTCCTGTGGTCCCTGGTGCGGACGGCAAAGGCCAGCCCCAAAAGAGCATGGGCATGCAGGGGCACCGCTGGGTCCCTGTCCACCCCCGTGCCGGTCCCAGGCAGACACCCCACGTTCTCCCGCTGCTGACCCCATGCTGTGGCCGTCCCCAGGTCAAGAAGGAGGCGGGCGAGAACGCTCCGGTGCTCAGCGACGATGAGCTGGTGTCCATGTCGGTGCGGGAGCTGAACCAGCACCTGCGGGGTCTCACCAAGGAGGAGGTCACCCGCCTGAAGCAGCGTCGGCGCACGCTCAAGAACCGCGGCTACGCGGCCAGCTGCCGCATCAAGCGGGTGACGCAGAAGGAGGAGCTGGAGCGGCAGCGCGTGGAGCTGCAGCAGGAGGTGGAGAAGCTGGCGCGTGAGAACAGCAGCATGCGGCTGGAGCTGGACGCCCTGCGCTCCAAGTACGAGGCGCTGCAGACCTTCGCGCGCACCGTGGCCCGGGGACCCGTGGTGCCCTCCAAGGTGGCCACCACCAGCGTCATCACCATCGTCAAGTCCGCTGAGCTCTCCTCCACCTCCGTGCCCTTCTCGGCCGCATCCTAGTGCCGGCTGGGGGCGGGGAGCGGCAGGCAGGCGGGCGGGGGCGCGCCCCTCATACCTGTCACTGGGACGCAGACTCTCGACATCCGAGTCCAAGCGCAGGCCCCTCAGGCGCGGGCGACTCACACCAGGATGAGACTGTGGTGCAGGGTGAAGAGTGGGCTCCCGTGGGCCCAGAGCTGCGTGCCGGTCCACACACACGCCCGCCCCCTGCTCCCCACAGGATGCGTCTGTGTGTGGGAATTGGCATCTTGCACCCGTGGGAGTCGGGACATATAACAGAAAGGCCCCCGGGAAGTTCCGCCGCCCCCGCGGGGGCTGCCAGAAGACACGGCCCCAGGAGTTAGGCCCCTGTGGTCAGGTCAGCGTGGGGCTTGTTTTCCACTGCAGCTGGGAGCAGCCTTCGACACCTGCCCTGCTGTGGCCTCCCAGCTGGTGCGGGAGCCCCTCGCTGCCCTGACCGACTCCGCAGACCCTGGGAGGAGCATGGATGGTGCGTCGGCAGCTCCGTCCTTCCAGCTGTCCTGTTGCAGTTGCCCGTGACCCGTGTCTGCCTTAGCAGGGGCTTGTGCAAGTGTGCGCGGTGTGGGAGGCCGCCTGCGTGGGGTGGTGTCTGTGTGTGTGCACGTGTGTGTGTGCAGGCCCGTCTGCCATCACAGCACCAGGGCTGAGGGGGCAGGTGTTCACCGGAGGAGGGCCTGTGGGCACGTGTGGCAGAGAGAGTGGCTCATACGTCGTGAGGTCTCCCGTGTGCTCTGGTGACCCGAGGAGGTCGTGCAGCACAGCACAGAAGCCCCACCCACGGGAGCCAGCCCCCCAGACACCGACCCCGCAGGCCATCCTGGACCTCAGCGGACACGGACAGGAGCGTCCCATCATTTGATGGTGAGCAGGACTCAGGCTCTGTGTCCTGGAGCTGCTTCTCACCAGCTGTGGTCAGTGCAGGGGGAACGAGGAGGTCTTTTGGGGGCCTAGAGGGGAAGGGCCGCTGCAGTCTAGGGAGAGGGGGTGCAGCCTGGGGGACGTTGGTAGATGTGGACGTGGAGGTGGGAGGGAGAGGACGTTGCATTGGGTGGTTGGGAGGAGGTGGGAGCCGTGTGCGAGAGCTGGTGGAAAGGCTTGAGGGGCAGGACCAGGATGCGGCTGGCTTATACAAGAGCTCAGGAGTGAGGCTGGCACTCCGGAGGGCGTGGTGGGCGGGGAGGCGGCAGGCACCAGGCCAGGAGAGCCTCGTGGATGTGGCTCCCACGTGCACACCCCCAGGAGCACAGCCACGAGCTGCAGGTGTGGCCTTGGCACTCAGTCCTCGCCCGGAGCCTTCGCCTGTTCCTCCTTCCCCGAGCACCGAGGCACTGGTGGGCTTGGCACTCCACCTTGGGCTTCCTTTTCCTGGAGTGCCACCTTGAGGGTCCCTGCTGTGACTGGGGTATCTGCAGCGGGGGTCGTAGAGCCCCTGCCTGGGGGAGCTGGCGGAATGTGAGCCACTGGCCGGGGGCCGCCACCTAGGACATGCAAGGTGGTGCCTCGGCTCCCTCTCGGCTGCCCCTGCCCATCCAGTAACACCCCCACCGGCTACAGAGCCCAGGCTGGTGCCAGCCACGCTGGGAGGGCGGAGGACAGACAGCCCCGGGGCGGCGACTTGGTTCTGTGTCTACTGTTAGAAGTGAGTGGGAAGCTGCAGGCCCGCCAGGACCACTGGGTCCCTGTGGAGCAAAGGCCTGCGAGTTCCCAAACAGCCGTTGCCCCAGTGGCCATGGTAGGTAATCCATATTGGATGTCATAAGGACCAGGGGGATATTTAAAGAGAGAAACAAACTATATAGAGATATAAAGTTATATTCACAGTTTATCTACAGATTTTTCGTAACAATCTTTCTTTTCCAGTTTGATACTGTAAATCTATCAGAGCAGAGCTTGGGGGCACGGGCACAGCTGGGAGTTGGGAGCAAACCAGAGGCCCGGGCTGCCCACCGTCCCCCTCACCACGGACTGCACCAGGCTGCTGGGCCCCCACAGGACAGGCTGCAGCGGGTGGCCGGTTCTGTCCCATTTTGGGGTTCTTGGTGTCCACGTCTTGTGGGCCGTGGGCGACCACCTGCCCTCGGCCTGTGGTGCTTTGCCGGAGAGGGGACTCCCCGGCCCCCAGGGTGGACGGAGCCGCTGTCACCGCCCAGAGCCGGGCCGGGGAAGCACGGCGCGTTCTGCTTTTCTTTTCGGATCGTTGAAATTTCATTGTCATGATTTAATATATGGATTTTTTTATTTAAGAAAAAGACGAAGGCCTCTTTGCCGCGTGGGTTTGTTTTCTGTCTCTGTGCCTCTGGCTTCCCAAAGAGATCCAGGTCTTTGCGTTTCCAGGGCGTGGGGACCCCTGCCCCCCACGCCCCCACACCGCCTCACCCTGGCCTCTGTGCTACTTGGCAGTTCCATTTCAATATTTATTTTTGTGCTGCTTTTTATCATGATATAAATTATTGAGAACAGATCACATGTGGGCCCGTGTCTGGCCGCCGCCGCCCTGCCCCGTCCCTGCGGCCACCACCTAATTTATTGCCGTGCGTCCTGCTGCTGTGACCGCTTTTGTACCTTTGCAATAAAGAATTTTCTGGTTTCAGACTCTTTCGTTGTGCAGTTGGTGCTTTTGGCTGGGGCTTTTTTGGGCTAAGAACCACACACCCCCCATCCCAGGGGACCCCGCCTGTCCCTCACCAGGGTCAGGATCCGGGCACCATGTGTAAGTGGCTTTCACAGACTGCTGGCCCGTGACCGTGATGCTGGGACAGCCACGGGGGAGGTGCTGGTTAGGTGGCCACGTCCCGGTCTCAGTCTCCGAGGGTCAGGCCGCAGTCCTGAGCGTCGCCATCTGCCCCACCCACAGCCCCCTGTCCATGCAGCCTCTCCCAGTGGAAGGAGCAGAGAGCACCATGGCTGTCAGTGTCCCCCTTCCCCAGGAGATCCCTCACCCAGCTCTGCTGGACTCTCAGAGGAGCCTGCAGGAAGCCGTGAGCAAGACAGGGTCTGTCTGGGAGCAGAGAGCAAAGCGGCCCTGCACAGTGGCTGGAAGCCTGTGGACTCCTCTGAAAAGCCAAGGGCCTGCCTACATGCCGTCGCCGCTCCGCCTGGCCTTCCAGGAGAGCAGCCCCGGCACACCCGGCCCCATTTTTGGGGCTGAGCTGACCGAAGGGTGAATGCCGTTCAGTGCTGGACCACGCAGGGTGAAATCCAAGCTGGATTTTTTTGAGACATCTTGCTCTGTCACCCAGGCTGGAGTGCTCGTGATCACGGCTCACTGCAGCCTCAACCTCCCGAGCTCAAGCAATCCTCCCATCTCAGCCTCCTGAGTAGCTGGGACCGCCGGCATACACCACCATGCCCAGCTAATTTTTGTATGTTTTTGGAGAGATGGTGTTTTACCATGTTGCCCAGGCTGGTCTCGGACTCCTGGGCTCAAGCAATCCACTCGCCTTGGCCTCTCCAAGTGCTGGAATTACAGGCATGAGCCATAGAACCTGATCATAATCCCACCTCTCAGCATCTGTGTGGCCTGGGGCCAGTTCCCTCCTTCCCAGCCTTGCTTCCTGTGAGGTGGGCGTGGAGGTGACTGCAGCAGCCGGCACGAGGGTTGAATCTGTGCTGGGGCCACAGCAGCCTGAGCTTGTCACTAGCAATGGCAGGGATGGCACTTTCCCCAGCTAAGTCAGACCTCCCCTGTGGCCCACCCTGCGGCTCTGGGCCCAGCCTGCTCCTCCTGGGGGAGCTGGTGGGTGTGAGTTGGGGGCACAGAGCCCCAGCCCCGTGTGGGGCTCCTGGAGGCCATGGACAGACAGGGAAGCTGTGAGAGGAGACGCCACCCCGCCCAGCCGTGCAGCCTGCACCCTGGCCAGGCCAGGGCCCCCAGGGCTTCTACCCTTTCTTGTGGATGCTGGGGATTTTCAGCTGGACCATCTCCCAGACGAGGACACTGAGGCAGGAGAGGTTAGAGAGGTTGGTGGGGGCATTGGGCCAAGACACGTGGCTCCTGCCTGCCTCGAGACCCACTCCTCTGTTGGGGCCTGTCACCGGTAAACCCCTTTCTCTGCAGCGATGATGACACTGGAACCATGCTGGTCTCCATCCTTCCCCCTCTCATGAGCCCACGCTCCCTCTCGAGGCGGGTTGAGCCCTGGCCTGGACCGCCCCACACTGCCTCCGTCCATGCCAAGCGGGCTCAGCCCTCGGGGCTTTCCTTTGAGTCGTGTTGGAAAGAAGCAGAGCAGCCTCACCCACGGGCAGAGGCGTCTGTGAGGCTCAGGAGGCAGCGGGGAGAGAGGGCCTCCGTGGAGCGGGCTCCCGGTGTCCGAGTCCCTGCTGAGCGGGCTCCCGGTGTCCGAGTCCCTGCTCTGTGACCCCAGCCTCACCCGCGGGCAGAGGCGTCTGTGAGGCTCAGGAGGCAGCGGGGGGAGAGAGGGCCTCTGTGGAGCCGGCTCCTGGTGTCCCAGTCCCTGCTCCATGACGCCAGCCTCACCCGCGGGCAGAGGCATCTGTGAGGCTCAGGAGGCAGAGCGGAGAGAGGGCCTCTGTGGAGCCAGTTCCTGGTGTCCAAGTCCCTGCTCTGTGACCCCAGGCAACTTGCTCCATCTCTCTGGGCTCAGTCGCCGTCCCAGCTGGCGTGAGCGCTGAGCGTGTCAGTTTCCTGGCACAGTCCTTGGCTGGTCCAAGTGGGCATTTGGCGGAAACTGACTTCTCCCCTGTCCTAAACCGCAGGCCTGAGGGGCTGCTGACATAGGAGCTCAGCCCCCAGCACCTCAGCCTCTGCCGCCGGGAGCCCACGTGGTGTCTGGGTCTCCAGAAGGGGAGCCCTCGGTCATGCACCCTCCAAACACAGATTTCAGCAACTCGATCTCTAATGGGGTGGCCTTCCCCAGGGCAAGGGCAGAGCAAGCCTAGCGTCTGGCCAGTGCCCCCAGCCTCCAGAAACTGGCCCTTGGCAGCAGGTCCCCGGGGAGCACCACGCCCCCACATGCTGACAGAGTGAGACACGGGGGCTGCCTGGTGGGTCTCTCCCCATGGGGGTCCAATAAGGCAGGTGGGCATCTTTGCAGCCATGCAGGGAGGAGCTCGGCCTATCAGACAGCCCGGCCGGGCCCTGCAGACCCACTGGCCTTGGATCCCCATGTCCCCAGCCCAGGAAGCAAGAGGCTGGGAGCTGGCCCTCTGTTGCCTGGACCCCACTGGTCCGTGCCCGCCTTGCTGAGTCCCTCGGAGACTCCAGGTCCTGCTGTTCCCGGTGGCCGTGGCCATGGGTGGGGGCAGCACAGGTGGGAGCCGCGGTCCCCGGGTGGTACCCACTGGGCCTTCCTGTCTGCTCTCCATGCCCAGTGCCTGAGCCCCCCAGGCCTTGCCCACTTCTGCTGCCCCTGCCCCAGCCCCCACCCAACCTGTGCTGTGGGCCCCAGATACACAGAACTGACTGCCACCTGCAGGCCAGGTCACTGCACCGTCCCCTGAGGGGCCCTGGGCCTGGGGGGTGCCCTGCAGTGACACCCCTCGCCCTGGGCCAGCTGTGTGTCCTTCCAGAAGCCCCCTTAGTTCCTGGGCGGCTGTTGTTCTCGCCGCTGGGATTTCCAAGGCCTCTTAGGCGCCTCCAGCTTCCCGAGGGCAGGGCACGTGTCTGAAGCTCGGCTCCTCAAACCCAGGGCCCCACCTGGCATGTGGAGGAAGAAGAGAAGGGGAGGAGGCAGGTGCCCAGGCGGGAGCCCCCTCTGTGCCCCCTGGGAGTGCCCCCCCAGGTACTCAGGGCCCTGCTTTCACGGCCTTGTCCCCTCGCCATGAGTGGGGCTGGCACAAGGCCCATTCTGGAGGAAGCAGAGGCTCCCAGCAGAAAGGCGGCAGCTGTGATCTCACAGCCCAGCCTCTGCCCTGCACTGCCCTGGGCCACGAGTCTGCCCACCCCAGTCAGGTGGGACCCCTTTCCCGCATGCAGACTCTGTGACCCCCACCACATCCTGCTCCTCAGGCTCAGGCTCTGCGAGAACAGAAGCCAAGACGCAGTAGAAAATCCAAGGTGTTTAGGCCAGGCGAGGTGGCTCACGCCTGTCATCCCAGCACTTCGGAAGGCCGAGGCGGGCGGATCACGAGGTCAGGAAATCAAGACCATCCTGGCTAACATGGTGAAACCCCGTCTCTACTAAAAATGCAAAAAATTAGCCGGGCGTGGCGGCGGGCGCCTGTAGTCCCAGCTACTTGGGAGGCTGAGGCAGGAGAATGGCATGAACCCGGGAGGCGGAGCTTGCAATGAGCTGAGATCACGCCACTGCACTCCAGCCTGGGCCACAGAGCAAGACTCCGTCTCAAAAAAAAAAAAGAAAAAGAAAAGAAAATCCAAGGTGTTTAAATATAAATAAGAGCACTTCCCACAGCCCCGCGGTGCTGGCCAGCCTCATGGGCACCCGGTGGTTCCACAACCCATTCCAGGCACACGCTCCCCTGGGTGGGCGCCTGGCCAAGGCTCCCCTGTGGCTGGTGTGTGAAGACATGTGGGCCCTTCTCCACTTGCCCACGATGGCCACAGCAGGCTCCGAGGAGGCCCAGCCCTGGCCAGCTTGTGTGGACCTCACCGGTCTTCGGCACCCGGAGCTGCTGACTGTGTCAGGGCCCGGCTGCCCAGCACCCCGGCGCCCCTCCCTCCAGCTGCCCAGCCTGGGATCCGTGCGCTGTCTGTCTCCCGAGTCAGGGAGTCTGGCCCACTCATAGCTCCCATGGGGCCCATACAGCCAAGGCCCGGCAGCCACGCTGACTCCCTGCCCCACGGTGGCCCCTGGGGCTGATGGCCAGGTGATCCCAGGGTCCCCAGGCTCTTCCGATTGGCTCAGGTGCCCTCTCCTTGGGCGGCGGGCCCACCTGGGTGCCTGGCAGGGCCATCAGGTGCCCTGACCCCCGGGCTGGAGGGAGGATGGGAAATGGGCTCCGAGGGCCTCGCAGGAGGGCTCTCAGGAGAGGCCCCCACCTTTGGCAGGGTTGATGGGTGGGGGGCCCTGTTCTTCCCCACAGGCGTGGGCAACCTGGGTCCCTAAAGCACCAGTGGCCAAGGTCCCCCTACAGGTCCTCCGAGGGGATGAGCATCCGCTTCTCCAGGCTCCGGCTCTTCCTGCCCCTGCCAGAGCTGCCGCCGGGGTGGGTGCCGGGCCTGGGCGCCTCCTGCGTGGCCTGCTGCGTGTAGTGCTGGTAGGCGGGGGAGAAGTTGTGGATGGCGTCCTGCACGATGTCCTGGGGGCTCACTGTCTCCCTGAGGCCACTGGAGATGCTCTGCATGGGTGCCGGGGGTGCTGGAGGAGGGCAGCGTATGAGCCCCACCATCCCCCACTGCGCTCCAGCCCCCGCCGGACAAGCCCCCTCAGCCCCGCCTCCCAGGATGCCCAGGGCTGTGGCTCCTGCATGTCCAGGTCTGGCCTCGGCCAGCGGAGGGTGACCCCAGACCCCTGGACCCCAGCCCAGTTTGCTCCACCCAGCACCAGGCCTATTCCTGGCCAGACCCCTGCCAAGGACCACGTCCCCTAGAGTTTCCAAGGGGCTCCAAGCAGCGGAGTACGCCTTTGGCTGGCCTGGGGTGGGCACCCTGGTATCTCCACAATGACTGATGA